GTCTTGCATAAGAGAGAAACCATTCCCAAGGCATGAGTTCTTTTTTTTTTTTTTAGTCTGAGCCAAATAAGGTTTATGTGTAGTTTTATGAATTAATAGTAGTTGCCCACCCCTTGGATCCATGTGTAGGTTAGATGTCAGAACAAACTAGAATTCTGTTATAAGGGAGAAGTAAATGGATATTAAGTAGGCAACCAATTTTCCACTAAACCCTCTTGTTCCCTTAACAACCAAGTCATCCTGAATGGTCAAATTGAGTTTAGAGTACCAGTTCCTCTCATAGTTTACTCAAAATTTTGAGAGAAAATTATTGATAGTTCATAATTAGTGTGATGTTCAGTCTTCATAGAATAAGACAATCATGTTCTCTGAAGAGTAGTCCTTATGGAAATCCTTAGGGAGATCTGAATCTGGAGATATTCAACTACAAGTACCAGAATACCAGCTATATCTTTACATCTGGAAGTTGAAAGTCTCAGGTCTGAAACAATGGTTCAGTGATACTTTCAAAAACAGGCTTGTCCACTTTTCTGTTCTTTATCTTTCTCAACTTTAGGCATATCAATCTCAAGGCTCTGGTAACTGCAAGCATTACATCATCACATCACTGTATTCAAGCCAGGATGAAAGCAGATCTTACTGTGTCTATCAGGGAGTATGCTTTTTCCCAGATGCTTCGAATGCACATCCTCATATCTCGTTGGCCACATGCCCACCCTTCAACCTATTGACATCCAGGGGAGTGGGATCTCATGCTTGGCTTCCACCAGTCTATTTCAAACCCTGGCAACTGGAGGAGAAGCCCATCTTCCTAAACATATTGCCAGAGCAAAATCAGAGTTCCATAAGTTAAGGAAACTAAGGTTGCTATAGGATGGGCAATGAGTAGTGTCTGCCTAGGGCCAACTTGGCAGTATGTGTCTAAAGCCTCTGTTCTATTTTTTTTTCTTTTGCCTCTGTTCTATTTTATCATCTATATTAGGAAAGCATTAATCTCAAGCCCAGTGTTTCTCAAATTCTGTGTAGTGAAGAATTAGTTTTCATGTTTTCTAACTCACAGACCAATATTAGTAAAGTGAAATAAAAAAAATAGATACTTTAAACAAAACACACTACACAAACCCAAAGTTTTTATTAAACTCAAAGGCCACAAGTTTCTCTGTCAAATTGCTATAAAAATGTCTACATACTCTTTTAAAAATTTTTTAAATTTATTTATTTTTAGAGAGGGAAGAGAGGGAGAAAGAGAGAGAGAGAGAAACATCAGTGTGCAGTTGCTGGGGGCTGTGGCCTGCAACCCAGCCGTGTGCCCTGACTGGGAATCGAACATGCGACACTTTGGTTTGCAGCCTGCACTCAATCCACTGAGCTACGCCAGCCAGGGCAAATGTCTACATACTCTTAATTTCTGTTCTCTTCTGGTCATGGACCAGTAAAAGTTCTCAGACCACTGTGGTTCGTGACCACGCTTGGCAAGACACTGTTTAGCGCCCTGACTTCACAGTCTGACCTGTGCCTGCCTCTCCTTGCCTGTGTCCTGCTGCTCCCTTTGGTTCACCTACAACAAGCTCTTCTCGGTTGCCAGAATATGCCATGTGGCTTTTTTTGTTGTTGTTTTACTACTGGACTTGACTTCACATTTTGTTCTACCTTCCTGGAATGCCTTCTCCTAGCTGGGAACACCTACTCGTCTTTTTAGACCAGCTAAGATGTCATCTTCCTTGTGATAATTTTTATGAATTCTTTGCTCTCCCATCAGTGCTTCCTTTGAATCCCAAGTATACTTATTTTATTAGATTGCTGTTATTTCTAAGTTAGCCTCTTTGACTAGATTAAAAGTTCCCTGAAGGTAATAAATTTCTTGCTCATATTAATATCCCCTGTTCCCAGAGCACATATTTTGCCCTAAATAAATGTTGATTGATCTGAATCAACTCAACAAATAAGACTTAGGTTTCTTTCTTTTTATTCTCCCACAAATATTTTCTATTATGCTTCTGCCCGTATGTTTGTGGATTTCCATATAAGAACACACCATTCTGATACATAAATTTTCCTTCCCCCTTCTTTCAAGTCTGGGTTTAAAAACAAAATACAATTTCTATTGTGGATTCCCATCACAGGTCCTGTCCTACATGCATCAATGTCACCATCACTACAGGCGGCATGTGGGGTTTATGAACCCACAAGGTCACTCCAGCAGCATGCTCAAATCCCCTGTAGCAATAAATGAGCCTGTATATGGATACATACAAACTCCCAAAAGTACCTACCAAAGTAGTACAGCACAGAGGATGTGCAGTTTAGAGTAGTAGCGTTCCAGATTTTAGTCCTTATTCCTATATTAGTTCTGTGGCCTTGAATAAATTCCTAACTTCTCTGAGCCTGTTTCTTTCATTTTAAAAAAAAGGTATCATGGAATAACATGAGGAAACAATAATTTCTTGATAAATGTTAGTGCCCTCTACTCCGATGAGTCCATCTACTCAGATGAGTCCACAGACTGACAAGGAAAGCAGGCTGAGAACAGTAGTCAGTGGGTTTCCCTGTCTCTTTCAAGTGTTAAGGCCAGCCTGTGCTTTCAGGCTTGCTGAGGAAGCTGACCTGCTTTTGAAATTCTATCTTGGGCAGAGCCTTGGTTGCTTCTCTGTACCAGTGCTTATTTCCTCTCTCACAGCTGGCAGGGATCACTACATTGGCAGCTCACGGGGTACATGACTAAGGTGGAGGGGTGTGCAGCTGCTGCTTGTTAAAAGGTGGGTGGTTTGTTTGGGAGACAGCCATAAAAGCAGCATATGGAAATCCCCAAACTCCACTGCTCAAATGACATCATGGGGCCAAACCATCGCTGGGAGGGAGGCTCCAGAGGAGGCCATTCCTTCCTCAGGCACTCTAGCTCTTTTGCTTTACCACTGATTTACCCCTCCCCACCTTAACTTTAGGAAAGAGGGACTATGATGGACATTTGTTGAGTTTAATTAATATGAAAAAACTGACTTCCTTCAACACGCCCTGCGCTTTCACACCTTTGTACCTCACTTCTGCTGTACTGTCCACTAGAAATGCTCTTCCTCTCTATTTACCTGGGTAATTCAACCTCTACATTTTGAATCAAATGTGAGATCTTAGGTCTTTCTTCCTCTACACCACCCTCTCTTCTAGGCTTTCACCTGTCTAAACTTAATCCAGTTGTTGTGTATCACACATTTAACTGCTCTTGTTTTCTTTTTAATTTTATTTTTCAATTAAAGTTGACATTCAGTAGTGTTCTGTATTAGTTTCAGGTGTACAGCATAGTGGTTAGACAATCATTTGCTTTACAGAGTGTTCCCCCAATAGTTCCAGTACCCACCTGGCACCACCCAAAGTTATTACAATATTATTGACTGTATTTCCTGTGTTGTACTTTATATCCCTGTGACTGTTATGTAACAACCAATTTGTACTGTTTAATCCCTTCTCTTTTTCACCTGCCTCTCCAACCCCATTCTCCTCTAGTAACCACCAGTCAGTTCTCTGTATCTATGTGTCTGTTTCTATTTTGTTTGTTCATTTTTTCTTGTTCTTTAGATTCCACATATAAGTGAAATTATGTGGTATTTGTCTTTTTTCTATTTCCCTTAGCATAATACTCTCTAGGTCCATCCATGCTGTTGTAAATGGTAAGATTTCATTCTTTTCTAATGTTCAAGTAATATTCCATTGTATGCATGTACCACAGCTTTTTTATTCACTCGTCTACTGATGGAATTACCCTTGCTTTTGAGGTATCCTTCCCTGATAGAGTGAAAGAAAGCTCTTGGGAGTCTTTGATTCTCTAAGTGTTTGGTTCACTTAATAAATAATTGTATGCTCTATTCAGTATATTTGACAATTTCTAATTTCTCACTAATTGTGGCTAGCTTATTAGTAGTATAATAAAAGTCCCTATTGATCAAGCACTTAAATAGTTCTAGAAGATACTGGGTGTCCCCCTTCCTGTACCTCAGGAGCAGTAGGAGTAATGGTAGTAGAACTAACCACAAGCAAGGAGAAAAATCAAGGAGTTGTTTGGAAGCCAGGGAGCCATTTCTTAGTTTAATGTTTGCATATTCCAGATTTATCCCTTGGTGAATCAAAGTAGAATTCAGATTTATCCAGAAATTCCTTGGATGTCATCAAAATTCTTGTAGGGGAGTATGGGCTTGGGAGTCATGAATCTAGTCCTGTATTTCCACTTACTATGCAAACTACTGGGGACACAGCAGTAAGTCAGGTAGACTCAGGTTCAATCCTGATTCTGCCATTTACATACTACCTGTGGGAAATTGTTACCTCTCTGAGCTTCAGGTTTTTTTTGCTTTGCTTTGTTTTGTTTTTCAGAGTTAGAAGGGGATAATATTTATTTGGGTTTTTGTGATGACAAAATATCATTTGTGTAAAGTATATAATCTAGATCTGGTACTTCATAGGTATTTAATAAGTGGTAGTTACTATACTTGGCAAATTTTGAGGTGGGTAGGGTGATGGCCTGAACAATGTATTAGCATTGCATTAACTATTTACTAGAAAAAGTTCAGCTTAGAACTCAGAATGTCAAATAAATACCTAGTGTAAATTACAATGTGACAATAAAAGTCTGTGAGGGGTTTTCCAGTTCTCACAGTTAGGATTTTTTCTGGGTTTAGTCCCATACTTTCCTATTTTGATGTGTCCTCCTACCTCTGGAGAGCCCCTGACCCTCAGGGAGCCCTGGCCCCTGGCCTGCCTGAGCTGTTGTGGTAAATTCTGTGCTCACTTTTCCTTTGTTCCCCCTGCCTGCTTCTCATGCCCCGAGGTCTTATCTTGTCCTCTGGGGAGGTATGTTAAGTACTCTGCCAGCCTGCCTGTGTGCCCGGCCTGTTTTTCCTCACTGCCAGTACCTCTTGGATTCCAATTCCAAACATGGTATCCGTCTGGGGTCACCCTTTCTTCCGGTGCCAGGAGAGACACATTCCAAATGGAACACAAGTGTGCCTTCTGGGCTGGGCTCTCCTCATTCTGTCTGGGGAAAACAGAGAGCAGGATGTGGCCCCTTCGTTATCCCTCGCGGCTGAAGTTTTCAGGCCCCTAGTCCTGTTCTTTCCTAGGACAACTTACGTTTTCTGCTAGGAGCCAAATGTGAAGACTGGCCTACAAAATCTGGATCCAAGGAAGTTTGCCAGGGCTCTGCCGGGAGGGCCAGTGCCTTGCTAAATGACAGAGGATAAAAAGTTTTAAAATTCTACATGAAGTGTACTATGTTCTACCATTCATTCCCCAAACTACCAGAAACATTCCTCCTAGAAAAAGTGGAGTTGCTAGTGAGAAGCCGGAGGTGAGAAGACATCTAGGAGGACAGACTACTCCTCCATCTTCTGAATTTCTTATGTGGGGCTAGTCTTAGAGCCCAGCAAGGCTTTGGGACACCCCGAAGATGAATGCCAACAGCAGCACAGTGGGCCAGCATCCCTGGCAGGGGCCAGTGTGCATTGGCTGGAAACAGGATCTGGAAGGGGCTGTCTACCACCTGGCTAACTGCTTCTTGTTTCTGGGTTTCATGGGGGGGAGTGGGGTATATGGATGCTTCTATTTCTTTGGCTTCCTGAGCACTGGCTACATATGCTGTGTGCTGTGGGGCTGGTTCGATGCCTGCGGCCTGGACATTGTCATCTGGAACTTCCTGCTGGCAATGGCCTGCCTGCTCCAGCTGGCATACCTGGTCTACCGCCTGCGCAAGGACACCCTCCCTGAGGAGTTTGATCTTCTTTACAAGACGCTCTGCCTGCCCCTGCAGGTGCCCCTGCAGACGTACAAGGAGATTGTTCACTGTTGTGAGGAGCAGGTCTTGACTCTGGTCACTGAGCAGACCTATGCTGTGGAGGGCGAAACGCCCATCAACCGCCTGTCCCTGCTACTCTCTGGCCGGTAAGCTACTCTGTCACTGCCCACACTTCTCATTTCCCAGTAAGTCCCTTTCCATTTCGTGTTCCCTTCTCTTGAGGGAAGGATGTGGCCAATCAAACAAACCAAAATAGATTTTTCTAAGCATGGGCTTGCTTCCTCTTTCTTAGCATTTTCCCAGGGGAAACTAGATCATGAGGCATTTTCTTGGTAGGCAGGAAGGGCTGTGTGTGCACTTGCCACTGGGAGGTGTCAGTTGAGTGCTTCTTGAGCCTGAGTCTAAAACAACCACACACACGCAGCAGCATGTTATGCCTAAGTTGCAGAAGTATCTCTGTAAGCTTTGAAAAGCTAAATAAACATTTCAATAACATTAATTTGTTTCTCCCATGTCCATTCAACATTTGCCAAGTGCCAACTATGTGCAGGGACCAGTGCCCAAACGGGGGGTTTCCTGTAACCCCTGTTCCCTGCTAGGGCATCAGGTATTTTGGGGACATCCTGTACAGACTCTGTGGTAAAGCCATTCTGTACCCACCCAGGTATGGAGATGGAATACCTCTGTCCGCTTCTCCATTCCCAGTAATTCTATTGAGTTTCTTACAGGCCAAGATGTCAGGAACGGTAAATTTGAAGGCCAGACACTACGAGAGAGTAGTGATGCCCACACGTGTCTCACTGAATTTTGGTAGAGACACCAGGCTGACTCCTTTTTAAGAAGGCTGATGTCAACTATAAAGGACACATGGAAAAAACCAAGGGGGGGCTGAAATTAAGGGAGGGAGGTGGGGATGGCTGGGGCGGGGGGGAGTAGTAGGGGGTACATGCAGACAACTGTACTTGAAGAACAATAAAATAATTAAGAAAAAAAGGCTGATGTCAGACATGAGAGAAATGGTTTTAGTCAGAGCCCAATCAGCCTTCATGGGGTGCTGGCCATCAGCCAGTATCTTCTGAACAAATACCACCGTGGTATTTGCTCACCACATTTGATAAGCAATTGTGGATTCTTTGAAATATTGCTTTAGTGGGACTTGATGTGGGGCTAAATAGCAAACGATGCACTAGGGTTGGCTCTGTGGAAATCAATCAAAATATTTCAAAAGGCTTTTACTTCAGTTTCCTCCCTTGATTCCTTGAGACCAAGAGAATGTGATAGAAAAGATAATAATCATTCCTGACTTGTGTGGCTCAGTGGAGTTGGGTGTTGTTCTGCAAACCCAAAGTTTACAGATTCAATTCCCAGTTAAGGCACATGCCAGGGTTGTGGGCCAGGTCCTCAGTTGGGGGTGTGAGAGGCAAGCAATAAATGTAATCAGTGTTTCTCTCCTGCATTGATACTTCCCTTCCTCTCCTTCTCTCTCTCCTCCCTGTCTCTAAAAATAAATACATAAAAATATTTTTTTAAAAGACAGTAATTGGGAAGCTGTATTCCAACAGGGAGGGATGAAACCAGATAAGACTGCCAAGCACACTGGAAAAATAAAGAGTCTGACAATATAGGACTGCAACTACTACTACTAGTAATAATATGCATTTATCTATTAATGTTTAGAATTGGAACTGTGATATATATATATATATAGTTTCATTTTGTTTAGTTTTGTTTAATTTTGTTTTGTTTTGTTTTGTTTTGTTTGGACTCAGAAGTCCTGGGTTGAAAGAGATATCAGGTTTTGTAGGGAGAGATTGTATTTTATTTTTTTAACTTTTTTATTTTAATATATTTTATTGATTATGCTATTATAGTTGTCCCATTCTTTTTCTCCCCTTTATTCCCCTCCACCCTGTACCTCCTCCACCATCATCCCCCCACCTTAGTTCATGTCTGTGGGTCATACATATAAATTCTTTGGATTCTCCATTTCCCATACTGTTCTTAACCTGCCCCCTGTCTATTTTGTACCTACCATTTATGCTTCTTATTCCCTTGTACCTTTTCCCCAACTCTTCCCCCACCCCATCCCCACTGATAACCCTCCATGTGATCTCTATTTCTGTGATTCTGTTCCTTTTCTAGTTGTTTGTTTAGTTCATTTTTGTTTTGTTTTTTAGGTTTGGTTGTTGATAGCTGTGAGTTTGTTGTCATTTTACTGTTCATAGTTTTGATCTTCTTCTTTTTCTTAGATAAGTCCCTTTAACATTTCATATAATAAGGGCTTGGTGATGATGAACTCCTTTCATTTGACCTTATCTGGGAAGCACTTTATCTGCCCTTCCATTCTAAATGATAGCTTTGCTGGATAGAGTAATCTTGGATGTAGGTCCTTGCCTTTCATGACTTCACATACTTCTTTCCAACCCATTCTTGCCTGCAAAGTTTCTTTTGGGAAATCAGCTGATAGTCTTATGGGAACTCTTTTGTAGGTAACTGTCTCCTTTTCTTTTGCTGCTGTAAGATTCTCTCCTTATAAGTATTTGTTTACAAATAACTGTATTTATTGACACTTCAATTTACTCATAAGAAATTGTATATTATTATGAGTAAATTGAAGTATAAACAAATGCAGTTATTTGTAAACAAATACTTACATAAATACAAATGTACTATGACTATTGCCCAAATGTTTGGCACCTGTAGTTCCATGCTTAAAATAAAGACACTTTAGGAAATATGCTCATTCATGAGTTCCATGCTATTTGCTTGTTCCTCAGAACTCCGCTCTGTTCAAAGGAGAGAATTGAGACTGGAGGGAGAAATGCCCACTTCACTTGTATGGTGCTTATTTATGAAAGTATATTATGATTATTGTATGGTTTGTGGACTGACCATGAACTTGTAAAAATCCACTTCCCTGTGAAGGGGAGAGAGGAACTTGCTCCCTCAGCATGACTTTTCCTAGTATGCTTAACATCAAAAACCCAAGTCAGAAATTAGACCATTTTGATTTTTATTTCTTGCTTTTCAAGGTTTGGGGGTAAGAGTTTTGTTTTATTATCTTTTAATGTCAATTATCCTATCTCAATTTTGCTAAGTTGGAGCTGAGGGAAGAGGTCTCTAGTCTACAGGCAGGCTCCAGTTTTCAGAGAGAATATACCTCAAAGCAGTAGATAAAAACTCCATGCCAGGGAGTGAGGATTTCTTGTGCTGATCTCTCCACCTCACAGGCAGACTCTCACCTGGAAACCATTGCTGAAACCTCAGACATCCTTTTGTTTTTATTTTAATAAAGGCACACCAGTCCCTTTAAAGATTCAGAAGGTGACTTCCTCAAAGTTTATCACCCTGTTAAGCTGTGGGAGAGTTCCTCTCATATACTTATTCAAAGCACATGTGCAGCCTCCTGAGCAGGCAACTCATGTAGGAGGAAATCACTTGTCCATCCAGGAGATCAAACGAAAAAGGACCTTGTGTACCAATTTAAATAGCTTCAGGGAGCCATGCAGTTTCATTAGATGTTAGCCACACATGCCTAGGTTGTGGTGCATACAAGGGCAATCAATCGATGTTTCTCTCTCACATAGATGTTTCTCTCTCTGTCTCTCTTCCCCCCTTCCCTTCCCTTTAAAATCAATGAGTATGTCCTCAAATGAGGATAATACTCATTTTATTGTATTTCTAATAATACCATTTTCTAAACAATTTTCTAAACCATTTTCTAAAAAATGGTATTAGAAATACCATACCATATGCTATTAAGCTGTACATCTATGCTAAGCACATTAAGACAATGGCTGCCGGTAAAGTATTTTTAATTACGTACTCAATCCATTTGGTGTATTTCTGAAGGTGCAATACTTTTTATTTATCAGTGAAAGAAGTTAGAAATTAACTTCAGAAAAATCCCCAGATGGCTACCAAATTTCCTTGAAAGTCACAGTCACATATATACTGCATCCTGAAAAAAAGGAGGGGCAAGACAGGTCCCAACCATTTCATGAGTTTCATCAAATACCAGACCTACTAAAGGGTGGAAAGAAAATGTCACTTTCAAAAAGGAGTATGTTATTAAATGAAGCATTTACCATACTCCTTCCTAATAGCAACAGGCAGGAAACATGTTTTCTAAACTAGATGCAAGAGGTAGAATGTGAAATCACTCCATCCTCCTTCCCTTAAGGGCTATCTAATGGTTAATGAAGTTTAAAAATGACTAAATAAAAGCAACTCTCTATCCTCCCACCTCTCCTGCCCCAAAAGGGGGAAAAAACTAGGTGTTCCAGATTACTCTCCAAGGTGGAACCTGGAAGCAGTTTTAATAACCCAAAATAGTCTATTACAGAGTCATCACAGGCCTTCCTTGCTTTTAAACAAAGAAACTCTTTTTGAAACAATAGAACACTAGTACTGATCACTTTTTCTGACAATACATCATTACTCAAAATTTACTAGTACTGAGAAGGGCAAAAGGGCCGTGCCTATACACTTTGTCTCATACATGTGCATAGGTGTAGGGTATTTGTCATTATTGCAAAAATGAACTTTCATTTTTAATCTTTAGTTTGATTTAACATTGCTTTTAGTATGGTGCCAACATCAGCTGTGCAGGAAGGGTACTAGAGACATGTGCATAGAAGTATACACCTTCTTGGGTTCTGAAGGCTCCAGAGCAGCTGATATTGCTTCATCAAATATTGTACATCCTTTAGGCCTTTCTATGTGAGTGCAAACACTCCACATATGTAACAGAATTTGGGTTGTGGACCAACTTTTTGGAAGTCTCTGGAATCATTGTTCTTGCCTTCTGTTGTTCTTGGCAAATGGTAAGTTTCTCAGTAGTAGAAGGGTCACCTCTGAGATCAATTTCAGTCCCAAGAAAAAGAAAGGAGCCTTTAGACTATGGTTATATTTTGATGATGCTATTACAGTTGTAGTGATTTTTCCCCCTTGCCTCCCTCCACCCAGCTTCCCCCTAATCCCTCAGGCAATCCCCACACCATTGTTCATGTCCATGAGTCATGCATATAAGTTCTTTGGCTTCTCCATTTCCTATACTGTACTTTACATCCCATGGCTATTCTGTAACTACCTATTCGTACTTCTTAATCCCCTCACCTCTTCACCCACTCCCCCATAACCTCCTCCCAATCAGCAACCATCAAAACTCTCTCTATATCCATGATTCTGTCTCTGTTCTTGTTTGCTTAGTTTGTTTTTTAGATTTAATTGTTGATAGATGTGTATTTTTTGTCATTTTATTGCTCATAGTTTTGATATTCTTCTTTTTCTTAAATAAATCCCTTTAATGTTTCATATAACCATAGTTTGGTGATGATGAACTCCTTTAGTTTTTTCTTGTCTGGGAAGCTCCTTATCTGCCCTCTGATTGCAAATGAAAGCTTTGCGGGGTACAGCAGTCTTGGCTGTAGGTCCCTGCTTTTCATGACTTTGAATATTTCTTGCCAATCCCTTCTAGCCTGCAAAGTTTCTTTTAAGAAATCAGTTGACAGTCTTATGGGGATGCCCCTGTAGGTAAATAACTTCTTTTCTCTTGCTGCTTTTAAGATACTCTCTTTATCTTTAACCTTTGGCATTTAAGTGATGATGTGTCTTGGAATGGGCCTCTTTGGATCCATCTTGTTTAGGATTCTCTGCTTCCTGGACTTGTATATTTATTTCCTTCATCAAATTAGGACAGTTTTCTTTCATTATTTTTTTCAAATAGATTTCCAATTTCTTGCTCCTTTTTTTCTCCTGGCTACCCTATTATGTGAATGTTGGAACACATGAAGTTGTCCGAGAGGCTGCTTTACAGTATCCTTGTGTTTTCGGATTCTTTTTACTTCTTGTTGTTCTGACTGGTTGTGTTTTTACTTCCTTATGTTCCAAACCATTGATTTGATTCTTGGCTTCATCCACTCTAATGTTGTTTCTCTATGAATTGTTATTTATTACAATTAGTATATCCATCATTTCTGACTGGATCTTTTTTATGCTGTTGAGGTACTCACTAAGTTCCTTGAGTATCCTTACAACCAGTGTTTTGAACTCTGCATCTGACAGATTGCTTATCTCCATTTTGTTTCATTCTTTTCCTGGAGTTTTGATCTGTCCTTTCATTTGGGACATGTTTCTTTGTCTCCTGATTTTGGCAGCCTCCCTATGTTTGTTTCTATGTACTAAGTAGAGCTGCTATGACTCCCTGTCTTGGTTGCATGGCCCAGTGCAGTAGGTGTCCTATAGGGTCTAGTGGCACAGCCTCCCCTATTATCTAAGTTGGGTACTCAAGGTGCGCCTTTTGTGTGGGCTGAGTACACCTTCCTCTTGTAGTTGAGCCTTGATTGCTATTGGCAGGTCAATGGGAGGGACTTGCCCAGGCCAGTCAGGTGCAAGAACTGGCTGTGACCACTGACCACCAACCTCTACCCTCTGTGGAGGATCAGCCATAAGAGGGCAGGGTGGTGGTGCCCCAGTGTGGTCTGTAGCCATGCAGTGGGTGTGCAGGCTCTGCATTTCCCAGGTGATGCAGGTCAAAGTCAGCTCCTACCTGTGTTTTTGCTTGGAGCCACACTGCCTGAGCTATAAAGCAATCCGAGGTGGTGGCTACTTGTGCAGGGCTTGGAGATTCCCAGGTAAAGCCAAGCTGGGAATGTACATTGTCTGCTGCTACTGCTGGGCCTGGGGCCACTTAGCAAGGAGTATGGGGGCAGGGGCTCAGTAAGATCAGCTGTTGCTTATTTGAGAGGATTTAGGAAGTTGTGAAGCATGAGCCAAGACCAGCCATGCATATGGAAAGGTCATGGTTAACAGTTTGGTGGACCCATAAATTGTGTGGGACATAGTCTCAGGGGATCACCAGGGTGGGGCAAACAGTGTTAGCCAGGTTGATATAGTCTCAGCTATGGCACTAACCTGTGAGCTCTGTGGCTCTGTTGGGGGAGGGTTCAGAAAAGGGATGATGGCCTTTCTGTCTGGGAGAAAGATGTCCCCCAGCTTGCCTTGGTGTCAGACCCTTCACTTCCTCCCTGTATGCCACTGGTGCTTTTCAAGCTGCTACCCTGGTGCTTGAGCCTGGAGGGAGTGATTCAGAATAGGTGAGTCCATGTGCAGGTTCTTTAAAAGGAACTTCTTGGCACTACAGAAGTTTGTTCTATCAACTGAGTCCCCAGTGGACTTTGCAATCAGAGGTTATGGGGACTTATTTTCCAGATACTGGAACACTGGGCTTTGGGGTGGGGAGCTGGTGTTGGGCTGGGACTCCTTGCTCCCGAGATCTCCTCCCAAATTTTAACTACCACACATGGGCGTGGGACCAGCCAATTCTGTGTTTCTGCCCTTCTTACCAGCCTGGATGGATGTGGTTTCTTTAATTCTGTAATTGTCAGACTTCCATTCAACTCAGTTTCTGATAGTTCTGAGCAATGGTTGTTCTATAATTTAGTTGTAATTTTTATGTGGTTGGGGGAGGACATAGCTGCATTTACATATGCCACCATATTGACTGGAAGTCCTCTCACATTTTCAGAGGATGGAGAGACAACTGAAAACAGACTAGAAACATATCAGTTTATGGATAATTCAGTGGCCATAATCTTTCAAAATCCTCTTGCTCTGCAGTATCAAAAATTCCAAGAGTATATGACTTTCCACTAATCATAACTGTAATTTCATAGTTGTCAAAATAGTTGGTACCTATTCAGATGGAAATTTGTTGTGTGGGATATTAAGAGACACATTTTACAAATGTCACCATGTCCCAGAACAGTGCACTTAGTTGTCTGCATTGCTGATACAGTTTTCTATCCACTTGAAATATTTCAGATCCAATGATAACCTCAGCTTCTACATAGAGATCTTTTTACCTGCTCTCTTTGCTTAATTGAGACACATCCTTTCTCAGTATATAACTTTAGAAGAGAGGTTAAAGCTAAAACTCTGAGTTTTCTGGGGAAAAGAGGACAAAAATCCATACTGCATCCTTATCATTCTCCATTTTTTAAAAAGTCATTTGAATTTTTGAGAGGATTTGGTTAGCCATTCACTTTTTCCCACACGGTCTCTTTTCTCCCTTTGCCAGGGTTCGTGTGAGCCAGGATGGGCAGTTTCTGCACTACATCTTTCCTTACCAGTTCATGGACTCTCCTGAGTGGGAATCACTGCAGCCCTCTGAGGAGGGGGTGTTCCAGGTAATAGGGAGTCCCATAGCAGTACCATCCTGCTCATCCCACTGTAACCCAGTAATAGCCCCTTCCCCCATCTTTCCCCTCTGACATCTGTCCTTGGAACCACTACCAAGATGATGCTAGGGGTGTGAGTGCTCTTCTTCTGTTGAAAGAGTGCCTGGGCTCTGGGAAGAGTGAGGTACGGTAGGATCTAATAGGTAGGCCATATCACTCCTGTTCCTAAAACTCTTCCAGAAGACTCCAGTGATCACAATATAAAAACCCCCACTTCTGCCTGGACCAGTGTGTCTCAGTTGGTTGGGTGTAATCCCACCAAGTGAAAGGTTGTGGTTTGATTCCCTGTCAGGGCACATGCTTTGGCTGTGGGTTCAGTTCCAGTTAAAGTGCATGAGAGAGGCAACCGATCGATGTTTCTCTCTTTCTTTCTCCTGTCCTTCCTCTCTCTCTAAAATTAAATAAATAAAAATTTTAAAACACACGAACACTTCTTAGAGAGTAATTTAAGACCTTTAGTGGTATCTAGCCCTATCTCCAGCCCCTCCTCTCACACTTTTTGTTCGTTCCAGCCATACTGAACTAGTAGTACTGCTCTAAACACAGTACATTGTTTTACCGTGGCCATGTCTTGGCCCCTGCTGTCCCTTCCACCTGAAATGCATTTACCCACAATAGACGAGGCTATGGCATTTCACTTCCTCTGGAGCCTGGCCAGATTGGCATCATTATCCTCCATCCTCACAGCCTATTTTTCTTGCCTGTATGCCTTTTTGTTCCTTTTACTTATGCTGACTGGTACACTTATTGATCTCTGTTCTAATGGTCTGGTTTCCTTTCTGCATTCTGCACAGTGAACTCTTCAAGGTAGAAATCTGTGCTTCTCCTTCTATCTCTAGGTTCTAAAGGACAGTACTTTGAACACACAGGCGTTCAATAAAGGTTGATTTGGCAGTCAGCAGTTACTGTCTCAGAGGACTTCTTGGGGTATTCACGTAACCACTGTAAAGCGGAGACCTGGCTGCTTGTCCCCTCCTCTCTTCCCTGCCAATCCTCAGGCTTCAGTTACCTTCTTTGTAGTTCTCACTTACCAAATGGCTAGCATCTGGCAGGCACTACATATTATATTGCCTTATTGATTCTCAGAGCAGTCCTCTGGGTTGGATATTATTATTACCCCCACTTTACAGATGAAAAAACTGAGGCTCAAAATATCACATAATTTGCCCAAGGTCATCTAGAAAAGTGGCAAAATCAAGCTGCCTGGCTCTACTATTTCTGATCTTTTTCAAAATGGGAGGGTCATCAGGAGAGTAGGGTTTATACAAACACACACACACGCATACGCACATACACACACACTCTTACTGGGACTCCCCTGACCAGAAAGTCTGCTAGTACTAGGTCCCATGTGTCTCCTACCACTTCTATCAGGGAGTCTCTCAGGCTAGCATATGAGCCAATCCCAGAATAGATACATGCCAGGCAGGACCATCTGGCTGGGCCTGCTTCCATCCCACCCTGACTTGGCTCTGTGAGGAAAGAGCCTGAGAGGCAACCCTGATCCCACTGCAAGGACCACCAGCCTTAGACAACTCCCCCTTATCAGGTTCCTCCCTGTACCACACACACACACACACACCCCCTCTCCAACCCACCCAGCAGTCTCCTTTCAAAACCCCCAGGGCCATAAGAACCTCTGGAGGGCTGAGTCAGGTCCTGAGCCAGCAGGCCCAGGCTCTATTTGTGACAGTGACAATGAGGAACAGGTGGTGGGTGAGCTGAATGTCCTCCCGTAAGTTATGCTTGAAAGGAAGGGCTATAACCCCAGATAACTCCTCAGCCTGGAATGTAGTTATCATCATATTCCTCCAATTAGTATTTTTAGCATGCACCCCATTTAGGAGCAATGAGATCCACAGGTTTACTGTGTAAAATCCCATTTCCTCTTTGCAAATGTCAAGTGTTATCCTGAGTTATAGTTCATCCTGTCCTTGTCTTTTGCAATCACAGTCTTTGTTGACCAAGAAGGCGAGCCACGATGACTGCCTGAATCATAATTTTTACTGTACTTACCACAAATGAATCAACATTTTTTCACACTTCTCAGTTTTACTGGACCCAAGCCCTCTTTATATATGTTATCTCATTTAATTCATTCAACCAAACTCTGAGGTGAGAATTAAAGAAAAATCTTGTCAAACTTATAGACATAAGTTGATAAACAGGTTTCCTGAAGATATTTGGGGAAGGATTTTATATAGGACATGAGAAAGTGACATTAGGTTGTTTAGCAGCATGCAAGATGGGTAGTCTTCACCTGATTCATTCGTTCACTTCAGTACTATGTATACTTCTCATATATCAGGCACTGTTAAAGGTGCTTAGAATACATCAGGGAACAGAACACATGACAGTCCCTTGCTTTCATGCAATTTATATTTTAGTAGGAGAAAAAAATAAGCCATAGACATAAGGAATAAGAAAATTATATAATTTGTTAAAATCATAACTTCTATTTTTTTAAAATAGAGTAGTATAAAGGAGACATAGTTGCATTTTTAAATAGGGTCATGAAAATCTTTGTTGAGCAGGCGACATCTGAGCAGAGACTTGAAGAAGGTGATAGTGCAAGCTCTGTAAATATCTGGAGGAAGAGCATATCAGAGAGAGGGAAGAGCCAGTGCAAAGGCCCCTTGGTGGGAAGGGCTAGCATGTTTGAGGCGCAGAAAGGAGGCCAGTGCTACTGGACAGAGAGAGGGAGAGGAGAATATAGCAGGAGAGGAAGTCAGAGAAGTGATGAGAAGCCAGAGCATATATTTTCTAGATAGAGCCAAAAGGATTTCCTAACACATTATATGTAGTGTGTGGAGAAAGCAGAGCAAGGAAGACTATAAGGTTTTTGGCCTGAGCAACTAGAAGGAGGAAGCTGCGATCAACTAAGATAAGGGAAATTGTAGGTAGCATTGATTTGGGGAGAAGAAGGGAAGTTCAATTTGGGATATATTAGATTTGTGTCATCTATGGACATTTAAATAGAGATGCTGTGCAGGCAGTTGGATATTTGAGTCCAGAATTAAGGAATGATGCTTGAGGTTGAGACATCAGTTTGAGAGTTGGCATACAAACGATATTTAAAACTGTTGGGTTGAATGAGATCACCAAGTGAGTGAGTTCAGACAGGGGGTGCGGTTCAAGAACCAAGCCCTAGGATATTCTAGTGTTTAGAAGTTGGAGAGAAAAAAGGAAAGCAGCAAAGGAAACTAAATGGAATGATCAGAAGATTGTATCAGGAGAGTTTGGCATACTGGGAACCAAGTGAAGAAAGTGTATCAAAGAGTAGGCAGCAATCAACAGGGTTGAGCACCATGAAAACTGACTGCAGCAACTTAGAGGCCATTGGTGCCCTTACCAGGAACAGTGATGGGGAGGCTAGGGGCCATTCCTGATGGTTTAACAGAAGGTAAGAGGAGAAGGGCTGGAGACAGCAAGTATTGGTAATGTTTTCCAAGGAGTTTTGCTGAAAAGGAAAACAAATTAATGGAGCAATAGCTCACCAAAGAAGTGAGGCGAGGAAAAAGGATTTTCACTTGTAAAATTTTGCTTTATTTTAAAATGTAAGAAGTAACAGCATGTTCATAAGCATGGCTGTTGTCTTTGTGTTTGACTCTGAGGACTTTGGTTATATCCTAATTAGCTCTTACACCCAACTTCACCTTCGGTACTCTGACTTCCTGTTTGGGAATTGTTAGTAGGCACATCTGAAGTACAGGCTGTGGCAGAGAGTGACTGCTACTTGCTGAACAGTTAGTAATGAATGGATTGTCAGTACTTACTATGCTCAGAATTCTTTCTCATGAAGCAACATGCTCAGAGAGAGTAATTTGTCTGATGTCACAGAGCTGGTCAAGGAATAAACCTGGAAGCTTACACCAGTTTCTGACCTTCTGATGAGGTGATTTAAGGCCCCATCTTCAGTGGTGATGATTATGAGGAAATGAGTAAAGAAAATGGAAGAGGGCTACTGCAGTGGGGAAGGGAGAGGAGTGGAGGTTAATGGGAGATCCAGTAGGTAAGGCAGAACCTATAAGGATTGTATAAAATCTCTAAGAAAGGATGTAAAGTCGACCCTACCTTTAATTAGATAATGCACATATAGAACTTAACAAATGCCTGGCAATTGAGTCATCTCTCCCTAAATATTAGCTGCTATCATCACCATCATTTCCACTGTCTCCATTCACAAATTTTCATCATGAATTCTGCCATCCTTCTCACTGGTAAAGTATTTTGGCCACCCAGATTATTAAAAATTGTGTGATTTTACACTGTTGTTGTTCACTGTCGTAAGCATGTTTTCATTTTAACCCTGGCTTTAGCACTCATCATTGTTTTAACAAGAATTTATCAAACATCTTCCACATGCTGGGCACACATCATTTACCCTGCAAATGTGATTTAGTTTTGCATCTGGGCACATAGTGAGTGCTCAGAAGTTCCCAGATGACTAAATCAATGGACAGGGGTGCCCTCTGACTTTGTGCCCTGAAGATTTTCTCTTCCTGTGTGCCTTTTTTCTGACTTGAGTCATCAGATCTGTCTGGTTATTGTCTGGTTACTTGGCCAAGTCAAGAGCAATTTCATGGCCCTGAATCCCAGGCTGTTCTGTCCACTTGCTGCAGCTTGGCATACCTAATACCCAGGGAAGCTCTTCTCTAACTAAAATACTTTCCAACTCCCTTTGCATCCCTATTCCAACACATTCTTCTTCTTTATTCTTAAAACAAGCTGCCATCGCCATTCTGACCTTTATTCAGAGCATTGGGAGGCTCCTTCTTTTCCTTGAAATCTCAACAGACTCAGACAGTTCTGCAGCCATTAGTGATATCAGCCATTGGGACCATAGACTTTGAGAGCAAAGGAGACCAGATGTATAAACTGAGGCTCCAGGAGATGTGGTCCCAGTCAGTGAATGACTGATCCCAGGGCTCCTGACAAGGGTATGTGCCCCCACCCCCAATCAGTGCACACAAGTGAAAGTTAGTCGCTGGGCGTCCTTCAGGGAAGGCCATGGCGGGAGGGATGTTCCCACAGCTTCTTCAGTAAAAGTGCAATTGTTTCCCAAGTAACTGTATGTTTTTCTCTGCCAAACATGGGCACATATTCTAGTTTAAACCTTCACTCGTTGCTCCTGACCCCTCTCAGGTCACTCTGACTGCTGAAACTGCATGCAGCTACATTTCCTGGCCCCGGAAAAGTCTCCACCTTCTTCTAGCCAAAGAGCGATACATTTCCCGCCTCTTCTCGACACTGCTTGGCTATGACATCTCAGAAAAGCTCTACGCTCTCAACGAGAAGCTCTTTGCTAAGTTTGGGCTGTGCTTCGACATCCGTCTCCCCAGCCTCTACCACGTCCTTGGTTCTGCTGCTTCAGATGCAGGGCCGGAATCCCAAAAAGAGGATGAGGAAGTCCATGAGCCAGCTGCATCCCCTCCTCGGGCCACGCCCACATCTGTCCAGCAAATACCCACTTGCTCTCCTCTTCCAGCTGCCACCAACCCTCATGCACAGCCTTCCTGGGCCAGGATGTCTCGGCCTGACAGCGGTGTCCTGGGTGAGGACTCCACCAGTCTGGTGCTGGAGGATTTTGAGGAGATGTCAGGATCAGAATCGGTCATGGATTATAAGAGTGATGGGGAGTACATGAGGTGAGGGGAGAACTAACATGGGCACAGCCACCGGCTCAGGATCCTGTGTAAGTACTCAGAAGGCAGCAGCCACACTTTCCTGCCTACAAGTGGCCTTAACTCGGCTTGTAAGAGCAAAAAGCATTCCGTGAAGTCTGTCCTCTCAGAGGACTCTAGAAAGTGCCATTAACCCAATCTTAACAATAGCCACTCACTGCAGGTGCATGCAAGGCATGAGGGCATTCTTTAACTTGTTCCTTATTAAATGTGATTGCATTTTGGAAAGTGGGCTGGTTGACATTTTGAGCAAACAGTTATGTTGCTAAATTTTTGCAAAACTGTGCTGATAGCTAAAGGGGATTTTATTTGTGGCATGCATTGTGTGTGTGTGTGTGTGTGTGTGTGTGTGTGTGTGTGTGATACATTTTAAAGGGGGCGTGGTTCTAATTCTCACTGGTTCTTACTGGCATAGAGTCAGCACTGGGATGTAGTCATTATGTAGCCTGGATTGCAGTTATCTGTTAAAATCATGTATTCCAAAGAGACTTGTGATATAAGCTAATAACCCTGGGAGGAAAATGACCCCACCTTGCTCTCCTCGCTCCTGGTGGAAAGTGTGCTGATAGCTCAGGCAGAGGACTGGATGCTGCTCTGACTGAATGTGACTATGATCAGATGCGTATACTGCAGCCTGGTTTTCCCCACAAACCACCCTTGTGCGAGGTGGAGTGGGAACGGATCTCAGGGGACTAGTGGTATGTGTAGGATTTCCCTCCTGGGTCCGAGAAGTAGACAAGAAAGCCCGTATTAAGTGATTCGAAGAAACTGCTTTCATGTCCCCTTTGCTGCTCTCACCAGGCCATGGCATTTTCCTCGGGGACTCCACACACAACCACAGTGGAGGCTTGGCTTTTCCTGAGGAAAACACCACATTTTTTTATTTGGAAGGCATTTCCAAGGAAAGGAGTCAGGCCCTAAGAAACCCATCATTTTTGGGAAGCACTGATAAATTTCCTGAGGAACTAACCCAGTGAGGAAGGTTTCTAGGTATACAAGGTAAATGAGCAAATGTTTGTAAATTTTGAAAAAGAAGTTATATAACTGATAAAAGAGGCAAGAGAGGTGAATGTTAAGAGGTTAGATATTTGGTTTTATAGATTTGGAATGTGTCATCTCCTATGGTACCAGTGTCCCTAGAACCATAAATGAGCTAATTCAAGGGTAGTTCCAAGGATCTCTCTAGCACCCGAGATCACTTTGTTAACATCCTCCATTTGTGTTGTCCACTCTCGTCACTCCTTTTTCATTGTGCTGATATCCCCCTCCCTACTTCCCTACACCCATCCAGGTATAGGATTACGTCCTATGGGTCCTTCTCTTTCTCCAACTCACCCACCCACCTACACACACTCTGAACTCAGCAGCTCTCTGTGTTCTCATGCTCTTCTTGCCTTCCTTCTCTTTTCCTGGTTCTGTCCGTTCTTTCATTTCTTCCCTCTTTCTTAATTCTGCTTAGTCCTTGTTTGCCTCAGTTTGCTGCTCTTAAGAAGAGAAACAACCTTTCCTTCTTCTCAGTTAATTTCTCCTCTTCATATTTGTCCTCTCCATATTCTCCACCTTATTGTTTATGTATTTATCTTCCCATTACCTTCTTTTCCTTTCCCCTACTTTGTTGCCTTGCTCTATTTATTATTCCTCCTAAACAACCCTGTACCCTCAACTTAGTTTTTTATCCTGACTCTTCCAAGATCAGTACTTCTCCCTCTGCCTATAAAGAAAACCACACAAGTGAATGTGTGAAAATTTCCAGTTTTAGATGTCTGCACATTTCATGCATGAGTTTTCCCAAATATTTGGAGGTGGGCAACATGGTAAATAGAAGAAGACCTAGAATGGGAGACTGAAGACCAGGCTTCTGTGTCTGGCTCTGCTACTTTTTGCAAACCACACAATCTCACTGAAACTTACTATCTTAATCTGGCTGGTTGACCCTCAAAAGCCCTCTTATTTATGAGAAAAAGCAAAGGATAAGTTGTCCAGAGGAGGAAATGGGAAACAGTCAGTCAGCAGTGCAGTGGACACAAGCCCCAGGACTCAGGCGTGTCTTTCAGCAAGAACTTGGCTATACCACAGTTTCTCCTGTGAGTTAAATCAGTCTTCCTCCCTGCTGGGTGGTGGGTCAAAGTTCCCTCCATTCTTTACCTGTGCAGAGTCTGTATCACTTACCATGTGAGGACAGAGCAGATGTTCTATGTGAAAGGAGGTCACAGCTTAGTCTCCAAGGTCCTTCACCTCTAATACTCTCATATGAAATTCCTCTTTCCAAATTCAGCCACTTCTGAAGCTCAAGGTGAAAAAAAATGCCAGTATAACTCACTTTATAAAGTACTGGTATTTGCAATATAGAGTAGTGTTTTTTTTATGTTTGTTTAAGAAATAGAAAGGAAAAATATTGTTTTCTTCCAAATTACAGATTTTTTCAGAACAACTTTCAAACATGATCAAATTGTCCAAATTTCAGATGCCTTTCAGTTTAGCCTGTGATAATGAGATAGTTTAAACCAGAGATCCCTTTCTAGAATTGTACTATTGGATGTTTGGTTTGACTTACCTGCTGTTAAACTCCTTCTAGGGTTATTATTGTAACAAATAAGCACAGTCCCTTGTGATTGGTAGCAATTTACTATTGTTTTCTTTATAGAGTAGGGCACAATTCACCTGTTATTCTCTGGCTGTTCATCACCGAAACTGTAAGCTCATTGCTATTCATCCGGGCACAGCACTTACATAAGAGACAGGAAGCTGACTGAATGCTACATGATTGAGAGACACAGCTTCGTCACACTGACACCAGTGCTTGTCCCTCACACCGATCCAATTTAGCACCAACTAAAAATAGTCAGTGTTTCCACTGGAGCTGTTATTTTAAAAGAGTACATTTTCAGTCTTGAGCTTCCCAGAATTGAACCACAAGTGGGTGCTACTTCTTTAGCAGGCAAAGCAGTGTTGCTGGCTAGTGTATTCACGCAGGGTCTCATAGCTAGACCCCACATTAACCCGGCCTTTGCTAGAATCTTCCCATTTAATTCCATGGCCACTCTCCACGGTGTTCCTCTCGGTGTCTTACCTACAGGAGCTGCTCAATGAATTCATCTGTGAGGTGGTAAGTTAAGTCAAGTAATGAGTCCATTATCACAAATTAATTGAAAGCTGTCTGAGATCTGGCCGATTTTGATTATGTGTTCAAATTGTTCTGAACACTCTGTGATTGGAAAGTAAAAATTATATATTGTCTCTTTTCTCTCTATTATTTAAATAAGCAAACAAATAAGAAAGAGATCACAATATGAAGACTGATTTTGGTCAGGGAGAGAAACCAGGACCAAGACAGAGCTCCAAGGGCCAAAGAACTAATTCAACAAACATTTACCTTGACTTGGTGTCATTCTTGAGGATAAAAATGCATGAAAGGCTGAAAGCTACAAGGAGAAATATTTCAGCTCACTGTTAATGATGGATCGCCTCACAGAGAAGTGAGTGACTTGTCACTGATAAAGTGCAAGCAGACACACAAAGAAATCATGTCAGAGATCTTTAAAGGTGATCCAGGATCTGAGAGAAGGGTACCCCAGGCTATTGCTATTAAGGTGCCTTCTCTGTGGTGATATGATTCCGATTCTGAGATCTGACTCAAGTCCTGTCACTCAGCCACCAACAAGAGCAGTTCCTCCTCTGCAGAAGAAGACCAATTGTCTAATAGATCATTAAAGTCTACTACTAGGTAAACAGGTAGCCTTTGTCTACCTTACCAGGTTGCTATGTGAGGAATAATTGAAATAGAATATATAAAGGCAGTTTGTAAGTTGTAAAGCATTTGTTTAATGTATAAGGTATTTATATGTGTGTCAAATTGTTTGGCATTCTCTCTCTCTCTCCCTCTCTATCAGAATTTCATGATCTCCCCATTTTATTTCCCTGAGTCTAGCTTTTCAGGGAAGGTGGCAATTGGCAGAATCCCCTGACAACAAAAGAAACAGCAAAAAGGTGCAGGCCCAAAGAAAACCCACATCAGCTCCTCAGCCCCTGAATAACATCAGCAGTAGCTGGAACAGCATCTGTTTTCCTTATTTGCTCAGGAGGACACAGATTGCCACCACACTGTATTCAGGCTCTTGCCCTCTGGAGTGGCTACAAGGTACTTTGGTAGCTGTCAGTGTTGTTAAACAGCACTTTTCTCATGGAACTTATAAAGGTTCCTGGATAGAAACTTGCCCTTGAAGGCAACAGGACAGGTGATACCCAGGGGTCTCACATTCTGGGTCTCTAGGTGGTAGCACTGGTCCACCTGCCCAGGCTCCACATTCAGCCAGGTAAGTCACAGGCAGCGGTTCCCTCCCAGCCTGCTCATTCTCAGCTTATTCTTGCACTTATGTCTCACAGGACTCATTGACCTACCCCTCTTCCCGTAAAAATAAAAGTTAGGGGTCTTATAGAGCTCATCATTTTTCTCTACAGAGTTTTTAAAAACTTAGTAGTGTTAGGAAGCAGAGTTCTACAGCTTCTTCACAGGCAGCAACAGAAGTTGATCTCTTAGCCTCTTTACTTGTAAATTGAGAGAACTGAACTATATAACTTCAAAGCTGACTCATCCTAATATTGTAGAATAAAATGATTCACAGGTACAACCACCCCTGTCATTGTAGGTATTGGGTAAAGCTAAAACATTGGGAATTTGTAGGGGTAAAAACAGAACAAAGTAAAAGAACCCTGTGAAGTTAGGCAAGCTATCGGGAGCCAAAGTTCTGAAATCCTCTCTCTTTTTCTTTCCACAGCTTCTAGAATTCCTCACCAGAGCTATTCTCAAGTTATGTCCACAGGACAGGCCCCCTTGGCTCCAATCCACACTCCTGAACTTTAAGGATCCGTGAACCATCTTTTCCTCGGGTCACATTCAATTTCACAAGAAGGTCCTTGTATGCACACCCCTCTTCCCCACTCCAGAAGGTTCGCCGGCAGGTCAGAGCAGACACAGAAGGTGCCAGCACTGCAGTTCCCCCAGGGCCCTGAGTGACAGAAATTCATCTCCACCAGCTTTCCTTCCAGGTGAAGGCATCTAAGAGGGCAAAAAGCACAGGTTCCATCCTTTACTACTTGGCCAACTTACATAGTCTCTTGAGCCTCATCTTTAAAGTGGGGATTACAAAACCTACCTCCCAGGGTTGTTGTGAGGATTACATGAGTTGATTTAGGTAAAACACCTAGCACATGGTATGGCACCTAGTAAGCACTCAATAAATCATTCATTGCTTTCCCTGTGTTGTTTCTTTTCACTTTCCGGACGGATCAGTGATTCAGTTTGTGGAAGCAGAAATTTTAAAACTTAGTTTTCCCTTAAGCTTTTAAGTTCAGCTTATGAATCTCTTGTTCTATGTATGACCCTAGTATTAAACAATAGGATTTTAAAAGGGATTTGTACAAATTTAGTTCATTAAGTTTCCTTAAACATTTTAAAGTGGGTTTATAAAGTTAACATATTCTATTTTATTTCTCCCTTAAATACTTCAACCTATATTCCAGTTACCTATCACTATGTACATTCATCCCTAAAACAGCCACTTAAAATAGCCACAATAATTTATTTTGCTCATGTGGGGCCTGACTGGACCCAACTGGGCTATCCCCACTCAAGGTTTCTCATACTGTTGCATTCAGATAGTGGCTAGGGTTAGAATCATCTCAAAGGCTCCTTCACATATGTGTTTGGGGCTTAGTCTGGGAAGACTCAAACAGCTGGAACAGCTGGGGGTCCTTGGGTAACTCTCTCTCTCTCAATAGTTTGTTCACTTTTGTTTCTGTGTAGTACTATGTTGTTTGAATATACCTCAATTTATCCATTCTACTACTGTGAGCTTTGGGTAGTTTCTAGCTTGGGGCAATTGGTTTATAAAGCAATAGTGCTTTTATAAACTTTCTTGAATATATCTATATCTATTAGTACACATACGTATATATTTCTTAGGCATATACCTAGGACTAGAATTACTAAGGCGTATGTTCCACTATAGTAAATATTGTCAAACTGTAGTCCTAAGTAATTATACCAGTTAATACCCTCCCCAGAAATCTATAAGAGTTCTAGTTGTTTCTTACCCTCCCCAATAGTTGGTATTTTCATTTTTTAAAAAAATTAACCATTTAGCTAATAGTGTATCATGTGGCTAATAGTGTAACAGTGTATCATGTGGTTTTAATTTTCTTTTCCCTGATGAATAATGAGGTTGAGTACTTTTTTGTATGTTTCTTAATGCATGTACATATTCTCTGTTGTGAAGTCTCTATTCTAGTTCATGTCCATTTCTCTATCTGTGTGTATGCTTTTGCTTATTGACTTAAAGGAATGCTTTAACTACTCAAGTTAAAAGTTCTTCATTGTTTATATATTCAAATATATTTGATCCCTCTAAGGATTAATCTTTTCCTAGAAGACTCCTCAGTCCCCTGGGTAAATTGATTTATTGTGGTCCATAAATAGTTAAAGATAAAGCTGGATTCTTGACACATATACAAATAAGCACTAGGTTAGTCCATCATGGAAAATATTACATGAATATTTGAAACCAATATATGACTTATAAACATTCAGCAGAAGATGTCACTTCCCATTTCTGGGATCCAAAAGGGTTCATGGAGAAGTTGACTTTGAGCTGTGCCTTAAAACACAGAGTTAGACAAAGCAGAAGCAATTTAGAGGAAAGAAAAACCATAAGTCCAAGTCCCAGAAGGTACAAAAAAGGCATGCCTGGAGAAGAAGAGAATAGGTGGCTTTCAGTGACTAGCTGTGGAATCTGAGCTCTGATCCCAAGAATATGGGAAGTTATCAGGGAAAGGATGCACTCAAAGCAGTGCTGAGGGAAATTGCGTTCAGTGCATACCATGGAGTCTGACAGAGTGTAGCTATTTCATAAACATTCATGTTCCAAAGTGCTTGAGTAGAGAGAACCAAGCCAGAAAAACAATTGAGACCATTGAAACGGCCAATGGGTTTTGAGATGCCAAAGGCCAGAACATATGATGGCAATGGGAACACAGAGGCCAACACCTAGGAAAGACCCTGGGGAGGATTACCTGGGAAGGGCCTCTTAGAGGTCTGTACCTTCTTCTCTTTATATTCTTGACACCCTGGTTTCCTATAGACAACTCCAAAAATCTTTTTTTAATTGGTTTTAGAGATGGATAGGAAGGGAGAGGAAGGAAAACATCCACTTGTTGTTCTACTTATTTATGCATTCATTGGTTAATTTTTCTATATGCCCTGACCAGAAACCAAACCCGCAACCTTGGCACATAGAAATGATGCTCTAAGTGAGCTACTTGGCCAGCCCCCCACAAATCTTGATATCTGAAGAAGTGTGAACAGTGCTTGCAACAGTTTCACTTCTACTTATTATTGAATTTTTACACTGATGTGTCCGCGGCTCAGAAATTTCCCTGGAGATCATGAGATTTTATTTTGCTTTTAGTTCACTTCTCTGACGTGATCCTTCCCAAGAGTCTTCTTTTGCACAGCACATGATTTCCAGTTGTCAGCCGCCAACTGATGGATGCTCAATAGCCTGGAATTGCCCTGTACTTTTTTTTAATTGCTTTTTTAGAGGTGGGGCTGTGGGGGAGAGAAAGAGAGAGACATAGATTTGTTATTCCACTTATTTCTGCATTCATTGGTTGACTCTTGTATGTGTCCTGGTCAGATCAAACTGCAACCTTGGTATAGCAGGATGACGCTCCAACCAACTGAGCTACCTGGCCAGGGCCTGCCCCCTACTTCTTGGCCCTCCTCCCTGAATCCCACTCCTCCCTCAAGGCCAGTGCAAATGCTTCCTCCCTTCCCACGCTCTCCCTGCCATTCACTCTATGCCTGTCTGAATTAACCTGTCCCCTTCAGAGCCCTCTGGGACCACCTCCCCTAGCTGTCATCACCCTCTGTAGACATCCTCTCTAGGCACTTGAGGGCTGGACGGATTCTTACTTATTGATGTGGTTTCAGCACCTACACAGTGCCACATGTCTGCCATTTAGTTGATGACTGTTAGATCTTCGTTGAACTCAGCTGCTCAATGTGGGTGAGATTAACACTTGGAAGTTGAAGAGACATCTAGTTTCACTTTCCAGTTTTCTTAGCTACTGCCCCCCTATGCTAACCAGAATACCTCCTCTTTGACTCTTGTGTTATTGAGGAAGGAGGTTCTTCCTGTCTGGTTTCCCAAGCCCTGCTGAAGAGCTCAGAGCTGATGCTCCCCTACCCCAACTCTTGCCCACGGGCAGCCCTGCCTTCTCACCCTGCTCCTCTCTGAAGTATCTGAGAGGAAAACACTGGTGACTCCACCTTTCTCCAATTTCCTCTTTTTACTCTGATTTTTTTCCTTGTAATTTGGTTCCTTGTTATTCACTACATATCTTCTACTTCTCTTCTCCTTTCCTCTCCAATAGTTCCTAAATTATTTTAAAATCTGTATTATCTTCATCACAAATACAAACATATTTTAAAACCCTTACATTTACACTGTTATATCTAACCAGTAACCCCACCTCAATGCAACTATAGGGAAGGGTTTTTGGGGTTTTTTTGAGGGTTTTTTTTTTTTCATGTACATGGGTGTGTGATTCCAGCTTCTGGCCTGAGATCCAGAGAGCAGTCATGGAAATCCTCCTCTTTTCCCTCAATGGTCAGTTTGTCTTCCCCCTCCCTGCTTCCACTGTGTTGGATGTATACTTCTGTGTTTGCAGTGCCCCCACTGTAATTTTTTTTTTGCTGGTTCTAATATCTTTTCTTTCTTTTCTTTTTAATTGTTCAACTACAGTTTTCTGCTTTTTCCCACCACCCTTCCCCACCATCCCAGCCCTCCCCATCTCCCTCCCCTATTCCCACCCCCCACTTGTTATTGTCCATGTGTCCTCTATCATTGTTCCTGCAAACCCTTCACCCTTTTCCCTTGTAATCCCCTCCCCTCTGCCCTCTGGTCACTGTCAGCCTGTTCTCAGTTTCAGTGTCTTTTGTTATATTTTGCTTGCTTGTTTGTTTTATTGATTAGGTTCCTGTTAAAGGTGAGATCATATAGTATTTGACTTTCACCACCTGGCTTATTTCACTTAGCCTAATGCCCTCCAGTTCCATCCATGCTATCGCAAAATAGAATTCCACTGTGCAAATGTACCATATTTTTTAAAGTTCTTACTCTTATTTATTTTTTTAAAGATTTTATTTATTTATTTTTAGAGAAAGGGAAGGGAGGGAGAAAGGGAGAGAGAGAAGCATCAATGTGTGGTTGCCTCTCACACATCCCCCACTGGGGACCTGGCCCGAAACCCAGGCATGTGTCCTGACTGGGAATCGAAGTGGTGACCCTTTGGTTTGCAGCCCGTGCTCAATCCACTGAGCCACACCAGCCAGGGCATGTACCATAGTTTTTTGATTCATTCATTTATTGATGGGCACTTAGGTTGCCACTGTAATTATTTCTTTAGAGCAGTGATTCTGAGCCCTGGCTGCATCCTAAAGTAAGCTGGGAAATTTAAAAAAATAATAATGCCATAGATAAAACAAGACAGCCATGAGAACTGTTAATTATTGAAGCTGGTTGATGGGTACATGGAGATTCATTATGTCATCTTTCCAATTTTGTATGCGTTTAAACTGTTCCATATTAAAAAGGTTAAAAAATAAATATATAAAATATACACTTTATATCTTTATATAAATATTTACATATGTATTACATATATCTTATTTTATATATAGTAATAAAACAGGGCTCATAGCAAAGCAGTTAAAACTGATTTTCTGGGGCCCTGGCCTTAGAATCTGTAGTTGTAAAAGCTTCCCAGGGATACTGAGGGTTGGTATAGGGACATGGGGACTTGAAGAAGATGAAGTGACTGTAGGAGGTACCTCTGGACTGGGAGCTTTTGATGAAATGTTAGATGACTTCCTTGAGGGTATTCACTTCTATTTGGGATAATGGATCAAACAGTTCTAGAATTACAATAAAAGAGAACTCATTTATTCCACTGTGTATGCTATAGTGTTGTAAGTAAATTATAGACCACCACTATCGACACACCATAACTTTTTTTATTATTTTCCTACTAATGTGTGAGCTTCTAAAGAGATAGTCCTTCCTCCCTGGTCAGGGTGGTTGAAGCATTGTCTCACACCAAAAAGGTTGCAGGTTCAATCCCCAGTAAGGGCACATATGAGAGGCAACCAATCGATTCCTCTCCTCCCCCCCAAAGTAATAAGAACATATCCTTGGG